AAGCTAGTGGCTAAATTTTAGCACTCCTTGCCATTTGGCTTTACAACAAAAGTAAGTTAGTGATATGGAAATCGTACTGTGAGGCAATAGACGAAATTGTGCTCACCGAATATAGTTGTACTGCGAAGGTGGCCTCAGATGGCTGCATCCACAAAACAACTGCCTGTGAAAGCATGCATGTGCACCAAGTGCAGACGAAACAAGTCAATAAAATCAGTAGGCAAAGAATACACTGAAAATCAAAGTACAATCAGTAGAGTGGCGCAGTTGCGGGCATTCTATCAACTTAAAAAAGAAGCCTTAAACATTTTTACGACATTCCCACTCTATTTTTATCATTTTCGGTGGTAAGCTCGACCAATTGTATTTCTCATATCCTTATCCACTACATGTCCAAAGCCTCAAGTAGCTTCTCAACTCCTCTTCCTTGAAACAGAGGTGACAGCGCATGGACGTGGCAACGACCTCGTCTTCAAAATGAAATTGGTCACCAAACCAAAATAATGAGAATGGGAAGATTGAGACTCGAAATACACGCCATTCATTCGGTACGTGACGCAAAACCAGGAAGAATCAGAGGCTTCGAGCTCAGCTCCAGTTCTCCAGCGCTTCAATCGCGAAATGTTGACGTGCAATATCATGAAGAAGGGAGGCATTGTCGCGATACGAGCGTTTTGGAGAAAATGCGTTGAGCAACCATAAGAGTTCTGCAGTGCGGAACTCTATCTTCACAGCGGTACAAATGTATAGGTTTGTTTTCATCCTTGTAATTGTAAATGAATATTCCATAGGTAAGCAGTACTTCACCAACTTTAGTGAACATTCAAATGAATTGTTCTCCGTTCTCCTCAACAAGCGGGAAAGCGAAAAGTGGACCCGCTAAGACAACGCGTTTCATCGTGCGAGTTGAAGGCTACAGTAGCCTGCCAAAAGCACTTGCAGACTGCGCAAAATCAAACCATAGAAGTGGCTACGAGTTGTGGTGCTTTCACTGAAAGTCGAGAAGCCAGTTCGAACCCTCAGCTGATCTTCCGAGCAGAGTTTGTGGTGCATGGGTAAATCCCGATGAGCTGACCGAGGCAAACAAACCAAACCCTCCTCCTAGTAAGAGTTCCAGTCTCAGAAAGGCTTCAAGATACACATACCAAAAAATCTGTGAGGACTGCAGCTTGAAACCAGCACCTAGAAAGAGTCCTGACTCACCCTTTTTTCGTCGGGAGGAACGAAGTTTTTCCTAAGCTCTGCACTTGTTGCAACTGAAATTTCAATAGTCGATTGCAGTAATGCTCATTGCACGGAACCGAAAGCGAAGAGCAACTGTTACCTTTTGACCGTACAACCAGGTAGAAGGAAATGTGCATGCAGAGCACCATTATATTCGAGAACGCATTCCAGAGAATCCACACACCCGACGCTAGTGGTTCCATTGCGAACGAGGGGTTGCAGAACTTGACCCTTAATCGAGTTTCTGAACAAGATTGTGATGCATTTCGATACAAATTCCCCCCGTTCCGTTTCTATAAAATTTCCGAACCAACTTGACCATTTAATTTTTATCTTTTTGTTTTTTGATTTATTTGTTCAATATCGAGCTATCGCAGTGTAATGAGTACTCAGATTCCAAGTTCTGAGTCGGTCATACCGTCTGAGTTGTACTACAATACTTTTAATTTGTGTGCAACGAATACTGGGCTCTGCAATGTAGCAACGGCAGAGCTGTAACAACTTCAGAGCTAGTGGCGTACGACACGAATTCGCTAGCTTTGCATGTATTTGAGAGATCGACACGCTTTACATAAGTGAGCGAAAAAAATTGATCGTAAAAGGGAACGATTGTTTGATGTCTGAAATCTCAGGAGATCATAGAGAAGGTACAGCCGTGGGCGGAAAGAAGAGTTTCATTATTAGCACCATCATCATATGATGAAGAATAGCGGTAAAAGAAAGGCTAAATGGAAAATTAAGCGTGTGTGTCACTCCGACAGTCACGAGTATCTCTCAAAACAGTCAGTCCCAAAATGGTGATTGAAGCACTTACACTCCTCGTCAAGGTGAGCCCCTTAGTGAGATATTCTTTTTGCCCAGCTTGGTCGATCTCAACCTAAACGAAAGGTGTCAATAAACGACGCTCTCTGCTCTCGGGAACTCCGTGTAGAGCCATACCCGAACAGGACTTCGAAAATCTTTTTAGCCGTATCCATGCGGAGAGGAAAATCTTGCTCGTTCGCGCTTGCAAGTGAGGTGCCTTAAAGGAACGCGTTTACGGAATAAGGAGAACATATCACCATCTTGAGCACCTGCGCCACACGGAGCAATTTACTTGCTGCCAAGAAGCACGGCGAAAGGTGCTGTGGTTGCTGAGCAGGACCTCCGCAGCGCTCCGCCCCCAGCAGCGTTACGCCCACAAGTTTACTTGTTGATTTGGACGAGCTGCGTGACCAGCAGCGGCGCAAATGGAGTATCTCGATTAAAGCGTACTTTGGCATGGTACCATCAAATTCGTTGCGGTGAACTCGTTCATACGTCCTCTTTCTTAGCTGTTACCTGTTCACGAGTTGAAACCAATGGCCAAAAAAGAGGGTCCCGTTTTGTGTTTTCTTGACGGATTTTTCTGCTTTTTTTCGCTGCTGGGGTACCATTGAACACCACCACGTCACACTAAACCCTTCTTGAATTTATCGTAACCGCTACCTTTAAAGGCAAGCCTGCGGGAATAAAATAGTACAAGAGCCATCATATCGATGGATAAGCTGCAAAATGAAGTGAAAGTGGAAAGGAAATCAAAAGAAGCCATCAGAAACGCTAAAATTAAAGCCACAAGTCGGGACTAGGTCTTAGGAGCCAGTCCCTTTTGTTGTGAGAAAAGGGTCCCCAAGCGTCAGGGAAAGCGCGAGGCCATCGCGACTCAAAAGTGTGAGGGAGCGGAGTTAAGGCATTGGTGTGCTGCCTTTCTGTTATCCTTATCACGGCATACGTAGTCGCTGCGCTCTCGCGCGTACTATCTCGCGTTCTCCCTCTCCTCGCACCGGAGTAAGCAAACCAGCCCTTTTGGCGTTTCTGCTGGGGCCGTATGCTGAATGTTGGGGAGGGGATGGGGTCCCCGACGGTCGACGGACTACTTCAACTCGGTCCTTAAAACGCCTCAATTTGATGCTTACCTCAGGACTAAGCCTTAAAGAGAGGACGGACCTGCGAGAGAGCGCAGGTCCGTCCTCTCTCCAAGGCTTAGTCCTGGGGTAAGCAAACCAGCCCTTTTGGCGGAGCTGCTGGACCTAGCTGCACCACTTCGTCATCACTCTCCTACCGTACCGACCGAGTTCAAGTAGTCCGTCGAGCTCGGGGACCCCATCCCCTCCCCAACATTCAGCATACGGCCCAGCAGAAACGCCAAAAGGGCTGGTTTGCTTACCTCCCTCCAGGCTGTGTTCATCACCATCCCACGGGCGACCTCTCGAAGGAAGTTTTTAGTGTTCTGTGGTGCTTTTTGCTTCTCTCCCACTAATGTTCCTCATTGCACTGCTTGCCCCAATTTTCAAACAAAAGAATGCGTCAGTTCGACTCATCCGACTCTCGTGCCTTTAAAGCCTTAACGTTCAGTAAGGTCGGAGTGGTTTAACGGCGAGATAAAGCGATTAGAGAGGACAGAACCCGACCCGAGTCGGGTCCGACCACAGGTTGCTCAGGGCAACGTTCAAAATAAGCGGAAAATTGGAGCGGCGGCTCAGGGCAATAGCCCAGCAGTCTAACATCAAGACGAAGGTCAATTCTGACATCGTCCGACTGCTAGCCCCCACGGTGTGCAAACCCACTAGAATATTCGCCACCGTTGACGACGAGTACGCAAACCTGTTGGCCGAGGTTGACCGCGTCGTTACAAAGGCCACAACACGCGTCACCTCTGAACCGCGACCGCGTCTGACCTCCCGACACATTAGAGCTGCTGAGGACGAGGAAAGCTAGAAAGATTTTTTTTTTTTTTTTTTTTTTTTTTTTTTTGCTAAGTAGAGCCACCATCGAAAAAAACCGAAAGAAATCCGTGCCCGGGTAGAGCATGATTACAAGGAATACGCCGCCCGCAGAGCATGCGAAGCAGCCGAAGAATTGACAAGCGTCAAAAGGGCCTATCGGGAGATCAGACTGAAGACCACTTGCCCCGATTCTCTGGCCAGGCCTGACGGTACCGTAACATACAGCCAAGAGGAGATGGCCGAGCTGATTTGCAACTTTTACAGCAACCTCTTGCTGACGGATCCAGACGAAGGTATTCCACCGATCCTACGAGCAGAAGTGCTAGCTGCTCTTGGCCAGATGAAGAAGGGCAAGGCACCGGGACCAGATCGTGTGAGAGTGGAGAGTCTCTCCATGCTGGCTGAGGAGATAGTGGACCCTCTCCGCGTGTTGTTCGACCGCATATTGCGCGAAGGAGTAATCCCGAGCGCTTGGAGGGGCTCTACTACGCTGCTCATTCACAAGAAAGGACCGCAGCACGATCTTAACAACTTCCGCCCAATATGTCTCCTGTCCCAGGTGTTGAAGGTCTTCTCCCGCCTTGTCCTCAACAGAATACGCCGTTGCATCGACGAATACATGAGTGTAGAACAAGCCGGGTTCCGTTCATGCTTCTCCACTATTGACCATATTCATGTAATATCACAGCTGACGGAACGTTGCCGCGAGTACCGCACCCCACTGTGTCTTCTGTTTATCGATTTCAAAAAGGCCTTCGACACAGTGGAGCATGAGAGTGTATACAACGCCATGCGCGAGTGCGGTATCCCCGAGCCCTATATTAGAATCACGCGGCAGTGCAACACGGACTGTTATACCGATATCAAACTCATAAAAACACCGGTCCGTGTTCAAATCCGGCGCGGCGTCAGACAAGGCGAGGTTACGTCCCCGAACTTGTTCGCTATTGCGCTCGAGAACATCATGAGGCGAATCTCGTTGCCCGGAGGAGTGAACATCGACGGCGTTCGCTTAACGCATCTCCTCTTCGCTGATGACTGTGTTCTGATAGGCGAGGACCCCGCCGACATTGCGCAATCCCTGAGCCTCATCAGGCAGGAAGCCGGCAAAATCGGACTACAAATTCATCCCGGCAAGACTCAGTGGATGCACAACGAACAAGTTCAGTACCAGCCGATCCTCCTAGAAGGCCAGGAGATCGAGCGAGTCTCCTCTTACGTATATCTCGGTAAAGCGGTCAACATGAATAACGATCTCACGCTCGAGATTAGCCGACGCCGCAGAGCGGGCTGGACCGCGTTCAATAAACTTCGAGATGTACTAACTTCTAAGCACGTCGACCCCTGGGTCAAAGCTCACGTCTTCAACTCGCATGTTCTTCCCGCGATGACCTACGGGGCGGAGACGTGGAGCACCACAGTCTCTGAAGAGGAGAAACTCGCAGTCACTCAGCGAGCCATGGAGAGGGCCATGTGCGGGGTAACGCTCCGAGACCGCATACCCAATGACACCATCCGCGCTCGTACGATGGTGAAGGACGTCGTCGATGCCATCTATAATTCCAAGCGGAGGTGGGCCGGTCATGTGGCTAGACTTACCGATGATCGCTGGACGAAGAGAGTGACTGACTGGTACCCAAGGGGAAAAACAAGGCCCAGAGGCAGACCCCCACCAGATGGGCAGACCCTCTCGTGAAGATGTACGGCCAGTTGTGGCGCAGAAGAGCCCGAAGCAGAGCGACCTGGAAGATGTGCGACCTGCGTTTCTGGCGTGCCCGGGACGAATAGCGGTCGAGAAGTAAGAAGTAAGAAGTAAGAACGCGCAGAAGAGTGCACGCCGTTCGAGAGAGCGCGCTGATCTCCACATCAATCGTGGTGAGTGGGAAGCGGGCGGCTCCTTAACGATCAGCGTCCTTAAGGGCGCATTTCGTGCGTTGGCGTGACACTCTCCCTAGCTACGGACCCAACAACTTTCCCCGCAGTATCCTTTCTACTGCGACTAATTCCCCGGGGCATGCCTCAAACGCTTGAAGGGTTTCGTTCAAGAAGAATACGACGTTCGGTAATCTTCAGCTATCTGGTCCCCGCTGCTGAGCTCCATCAGAGAAACCAGTTGGCAGTCTACGTAAGTTCTATCGGCTAGTGAAATCTACTCAAAAATTTCATATGCAAATTCAAGCTCAAAAATTCTGGATTTTTACTCTCTGAGAGATCAAAAATTTTACGTAATGTCCTGAAGTCAGCATCCTGACTCCTTCACAGATTTTAAAGCATTTTAACAGGCAGAAGAGTTTACCATTTATTCAATACCACTGTGTAAAAGTTGCAATTTCCTCAACTGGTATATTGTATCGCCGTAAGCAGCGTGTCAAACTAATAAATCAATGAATAGGCAAAGGAAATTGAAAAATCCCTCAGCCGTGAAAAAACTCACACTGGGTTCTCTTCACCGCGAAACATCATGACCACATTTATTATTAGAATGAAAACAGCGTAGATGATCGGAGGAGTGGAGGCCATCATTACGTATGCCCACAGTTCTATTACCATAACTCTGGAATAAGTAAAAGATTTCTCACATTTAAGTTCATGAGAAACAAATGGTGTGCTCGCAGTCAAGCCTTTAGTGAGTAAGCTTCCTCTGAAGTAGACTAAACAAAAAAGAGTGAGAACGCATTCTAGAAATTAATTAATTAAGCTGAACCGTGCTCACTAATTTGACCTCCTATACAAATATGGTTAGACAAATGAATTCTCTATTCATCTTCTCTCTGTACGTACTGCCTGATACTGAGCACTTCACCGATCCTATGCCAACTCCTATCTATCTTTTCACAGTCTCTCGGAGCATTTTTAGGAAAATTCAATTTTACTCCCACCCGTTACGGTGACGCATCGCTGAGAGCGTTTCCGCAACACTCTTATCCTTCTAAATTTAAATTTTGGCTCTTCTGCCTTACTAATCTTCAGCACACCGTCAGTGTCCACCAAATGTCCTCAATCACGCATCTTCTTGATTCTCTTTTTCAAAACGTCGCTAACTATCAGTTGAGAAAACGAGATGCTTCGTTTCCGAATTTAGGCCGGTCGTCGATCTATTTTTCTCGCTAAGATTATATTTGTGGGGACAAAATAAGTGGCAGCCGTATAGCGCTTCATCAGTAGTACACGCAGAGTGTTTTGAAGTTTCTCAGCCTAGATCTACTTCTCTCTGGCGGATCAAATCATGAAGAGTGGATTGTTCTGTTCTTTGACGATCCACACTTGGTGCTGCTTGAAGCTGATCCATGCAGTTTCTGACGCACTACATCGGCGAGCTTCTGGGACTGAGTGACGTGGTGGACTGCAAAAACGCAATAGCGGTGTCAATGGGAAGGCGTCCGCCCCCACTTTCCGCATCCGTCCCAGCCAGCAACAAAGTCCGAAGCACGAACGATTTTCAAAATGAACTGTGGTCAGATCGAAAATGTGGGGTAAAGGTGAAACACGACGTAACGGTAAATGGCCCTCCCATTGAAATTACTGCAGATGTTGTTAATCACTGTCGTGGACTCGTGGCCGTCGGGATATTCGTGCTAGACAATACTCGGACTACAGACTGCCAAATATGAAGTCACGACCTTGGAAGGTTTCGAAATGTTCTTGGATTTTTCATTGCGGCGCCTCTGTTCACCCAGTGGACGCATGCCTCGAGAATGTTTTGCTATCCTCCGGTTATACATTTCACCCACGACTTCTATAAAAAAGGAAACTAGAAAAAGAGTGGAGGAGGACTTTTTCAACGTTATACACTTGACCTCTCCTTCTTCGCCGGATCAGTACATCTTTCAGATCCTGTGACAGCCTAGAACAGAGGCACAAATTTTCGGATTTAGCCCTGCACACTTGAAAACCTCGAAAGGTTTTTTGGCATGTGTTATCATCTCGTAAAATAGGCGAGACCATGGGGAAGACCACGTGGAATGAATAGCAGAAAAACTAGAGGACACAGTCGTGTAAGAACAAAAAAAGCTGCAGTTCAAAGGGACTTCCTGTCATCGCTCAAGTGTTACACCAGTACCCTTTCGCATCCGAGTAACTAACCGCATGGGAAATATGACGGAGAGCAGCTTATTGAGTACAAGCACGAAAAACATGGTCGACTGCATGCAACTGAAATAAAGATACGATAATTTCCATAATGTTCAATTCAACTCATCCTACCAAATGATCAATTCAATTGTTGGAATCTCTTCGTAAAATAACAGCGTTGAGCCTGTTACTCTATTATGATACATACCTGAATATTATGTAAGGAAGCATCAGCGCGAAGCACGAATGCCTGTGAAAGGTTATACCATATAGACCGACTATTGCAGTTACAAGTTCACCCAGCAGGCAGAAAGACTGGTAAAGGGTCGTCAGAGCTAGCAGCACTCCTGAATATCCCACATCGAAGTTTATTCACACAGCAAAGTTCCTGATTTAGCTACTCAATAAATTACACTTTATAAAGGTGCTTTAATAAGGATAAATGTGTTTCATCCTATTTTTGACTGATTAGGACAACCTAGTTTTATTGTTCGATCTTTGATCTCCTGTAACAAACACCACGTGAAAATCCATGTGTACTGATAGTGAGCTGGAACGGTCGAAAGGTTCGCTAGATTACACGAATTCGATAGCGAATCTCAATCTCAACGATGCGATAGCATTTCCTGCCGAATCGGAAGCTCGCATCTATAGCGGCAGGCAGGTGCCTTCGATTAGTCAAGGCTTTGGTTGCTTTACGTATGACCGCGGCGCCTTGCATAAATATGAAGATTTACTTGGAGGTGAATTTGTAAAGTGCTAGTGATGGCAATTATACAGGGTGGTCCAAAATTATGAGGACCGCGTGCGCGCGCAGTCATATCCACTTTTTTCCGTATCGCTCCATTTTCATCTCCTTTTCTGTGCACTATGTGAAGGGTACAATGTCTTCTTCCTAATGAAACCAAATTTCATGAAGTTCTCAAAACTAGTGAAATAACTACTTCACTTTGAGTCAGTCCTCAAATTGAACTCACTAGGGGCTCTGGCACGTTACATCTAGCAGCAGTCTAACCTATCAGGGAAGCCCTTATGAGCAACAGTTCAACTCTTCAATAAGTTTGGAACCACCACAGATGGAAAATTCGGGGACTCGAAAGTTACAGTTACCACCAGGATAATTATCAGATGCAGAAACTAGGTCTCCCCTTGTCGACTTTCGTACACCCAAAATGAAAAAATTGATGTGAAAACCCAGCCAGACACTCTAAAGACTCCACATCTGTAGTGGATAGAAAGCCACACGAGTAGTCTACTTGGAACTTCTTACAGGGACCGAGCACCCAAGAATAAAGCAAAAATCCTCCAAAAAGCGATTTTTCGAGTTCGTTGCTTTCGAAGAATTGTTACAATGGAACCATCCACCTAATAGCTCTAGATTTCTGTATTTCACACCCTGGATGCAAGCGCAAATAAATGCCCCACAAAAGTTTGATTCCCTGAAGAAGGCAGAGCAGAAGGCCTGGAAACATTTGGACACGCCTCAGTTGCGTGCCACCGCACGCGCCATCCCCCTTCATCTGAAGGCTCGTGTAACGGGGCAGGTGGCAGATCTCAATTCTATTCTGGAATTACTTTGAGGAAGAGTTACAAATACTTCCCAGAAGTTGGTTTGTTCCATCAAGCTACTATGCGTTTTTAACGACACAATGTCTTGGTCCTCATAAATTTTGGACCCACCCTGTAGTTATGTGGCGTATCTATGAGCTCTCAAAAACGCGTTCCGTCATCGTCATCGCTATCTTTGCGCTTGCATAATCAGCACTTCTAGCCATGGTAAGGGCTTCTTAGGTGGGTCAGAGCCCGAACCTGCCTTTAAATCAATACGTGACGTTTCATACGCAGCGTTCCTTTATTTACCAATTCTTCATGTGATGATGGTACGGCACTTCCAGCCATGCCAAAAATGAATTGGTAATTAATAGGTAATATTTTTAAAACCATAGAACAAAAGAAAAGAGAAAACCCATTCACTCACCATGTTTTGTGTGAAAACTCTTTGTTCGTAAAGTTGCCACGATAAGATTGATATTACCGAAGAGGCCAATCACTTGAAAACAGAGGATGATGACTGGCACCAGTGTTGGAGCCATGTTCAATAACGCCTTCCACATTTTCTGCTACTTCTGAAGTAAAACTAGTTCCGCTTTTCGTTTATCACGCTTAAACTCAACTACAGTACTCACGGTAATGCTGAGCTATGGAAATGCAAAACAGTTGCCCATAACGTGGAGTTTTCCTGATAAGTTTCGCAGGGCGACCTTCGGCTAAATGATGGCAACAAATAACCAAAAACAAGTCAAATCGGCCATAGCAATTCAGTGCTTCAAAAATCGATTAACACATTGGAAACCGCGCATTACATTTTGTGGCCGCGTGGAACTTCAGTGAAAGTTTTAAGAATCTAATAAAACAAGTTGGGGAGGAAAATCTATTATATACTTGAAAGGGACCTTTTTGAATGAAATGGAAAGGAAAACAAAAGAAAGGCTCAATATTTTCTTCCAAAATACGGACTGCAAGGTCCGACGCGGTCGACGGACTGCAGCCCACATATGGGCTGCATGGGCTCCAAGGTGTTAAAATCACTGGTACACTCGGTGAGGAAGAGTTGAGAGCTTCTTAGAATCACAGATTTTGTAAAACCAAGAAAGCCACTACAGGATACCAGGATATCTAATAGAGAGGATGACCATTCAAAAAAAAACACCGAGAAAAAAGTTTGTTCAACTGAGATGTCATCTCTATAGCCGTGCTATTTGAACAGGAATCTCTTCACAGATTTCAAGAATAGGAACTCTCTTCCACATTACCGTCGTGTGATAATCTGATTTGAGACTCTTATTTGGTGCCTATATGAGACAATTTTCATCGCAACCCTCTCTCATCTATCAGAAGTTGCAAGCTAAGTAGCAGGCAAAATGTTGCTCTCCCTGAGGAAGGACTCGACGAAGCACTCCGTCGTCCGACGAAGACATCAAAGTAATTCAAAAACATGTATGATGGTGCTACCACTAGCATTGCACGCACAGCAGAGTGGTAAGGCAGTAGTAGCGACATCTTATTTTCCAATTGTCCACTGTATTACTGGGAAGCTATGGTAAACATCCAGCTGGAGTCGAAGGAAAGCGCGTGAAGTTTCGGAAATGCAGCGGCTAGGCGTAGTGCTCGAAGAGCTCCATTTCGAGTCGAAGGCTTGTTCGACATCGAAACTTTTCCCACAGATCTTTTGGATAACCTTTTGTCAGGTACTGTATTCAGGGATACTCCGCTGCCATTTAGCATCTGTTGTAGTGACTGCCGAGAAGGCAAACGCACGAAAATGTAAGAGGTTTCAGAAACGTCAGGCTTATAATGGGGTATCTCACAGAAAGCGTAGGTAATGTAAAGCAAGAAAGGACTTGGTGAGCCCGTGATGAAGATTGGGAAACCATCCACCTAGAATATCAGTTTTCGAGTAAAAGCTAAGCAGTTCCAACTTTTAGGAGTACTGTGGGAGCAGGAGTACCGCGCAGTGATGCGTTTTGTGTAATTTCTATCTTTGCAGCCGCTTACCCGCCTGGCAAAAATAAACATGCGCTGTGTAATTGATTTAAGTAACTGCTTGACGCGATTAGGTTCTCGTCATCATCGGAATTGCCCATTAAAAACCAGTAGCGTGAATGGGGCAAAAATGCCGTCATTTGCACTCTTTCGCTCTTAACTGAAGAAAATACTACGTCTCTTCACTGATGCCATGATCGCCATAGTGGGCATGAATCCATGGATGAATGGTGTAGTGGCGTGGTATGAACAAGATCAATTAACTAAACCCATTTTCTTGCTTTTCTTACGAGATGTAATTATGTACCGATGTGAAGTGGTAATGTCTGACAGCGTGACGTACGGTACGGTAGTGGTACGTGAAGGATCATCAGATGACTGGTTTGGGAATGGGCAGGTCATGTGCCAACTTATTTGCGACCTATTCGCAATAGGAGGTGCATGATGAGTTCTAAGCAGGGTGAACCCTACGTTGTTACGAGTAACAACGGGGGGGGGTCGTACCTCTCTCGGTGGCCGACAGTGGGATTCTTGGTAATATCGGATAATAGCCAGCACGTTACGTTTTCGTAAGATGACTGATACTAGAGCATCTATAAACCACGCTTCCCTCTAAATGAGCTTTCAAATGAATCAGCGAATTAGAAGGGCGCCCGAGGCGTGGCGCGCACCAAGGCAAGGGATGTAGTGCAAGCGCATGCTCGAAGCTTTCTAGCACATCCTAAGTTAAACATGAATTGGTCTTCCAAGAAGTTACGGGCAGTGAAACCTAAGAAAACCCGCGTTTTCGGGAAAATGGCTTGAAGAATACCCCTCAAAAAAGTAACAACGGGCTAATTTTTGAGAATTTTTAAGAAAGCTTGAATCCTGTAGTTTGTCATACCGTGTTCAGCTTCCCAAATGAATGACTTTGAAGGAAGTTATGATCGTTTGAAGGTAAAAAAGTCGCGGTTCCAGAAAAATAGTAACGCAAAACCCCCAAAAAAGTAACAACGGGACTAATTTTTGAACTACTGATTTTGAGGAACGATTGGAAGCTTCATCAGAAAGGGTTTGGATCCTGTATTTTGTTCATACGTGTTCAGCTTCCCAAATGAATGACTTTGAAAGAAGTTATGATCGTTTGAAGGTCAAAAAGTCGCTTTGCACAGAAAAAAGTAACAACGTACTAAATTTTTATTAAATTAACTTTCGAAGAATTTTTACCCATGGTTGGAGAGAGAATAATTTGAATTTTCCAAATCAATCACTTCGGCGCAGAAGCTCGAATATGAAGGAAGTTATAGCCTTAGAAAGAGGGGTGTAAAAATTGTGTTGCAATTGAAGAACGTGAAGGATTTCAGTATTTCAATTGGAGCGATAATTTTTTCTGACTTCTCATAAGTTTTTATCAGGTAATATTGTCAATATTCCGGTCACTGGTTCAGTTTATTTCATCTCCTAGTTTGGTAACCCTTTGGAGTACACGGATATCTTTGAATGCATCTCATTTTTTCGTGTTTGGAAGCAGCGATGAATATCTGTCGTGGATTTTGCTAAAGTTTCATCTTTGATGACTTACGTAGAAATAAATATTGATGGTAAACACTGTCTCTACACAAGTGTCACATACAAGGGGGTCGTATCAAATCACCCATGAAGGGGGGGGGGTCGTAAAAAATTTCCAAAGAGTAACAACGATAGGGTTGACCCTGGTTCTAACTATCCGCCATTCCGCTTTGATACAGCTCAGAACCGAAAATCTGATCGAGGTGAGCAAAGGCTAATAATAAGGTAGACTAATCGTCACTGAAATGAGCTGAGCCCTCCCCTTCCACTGGTGCCTACTACAAAAACTCTTAACTATGATTTGAAACGTCCCTGATTGGAACACGAGCTGAAATTAGAAAAGCTGAGAAATCAACGTGCTTGCATGCAGGCGTGCGTGCAGGCATAGTACGCACGAAGCTGACTGGACCGCAACAAAAAATTCATAACACGATTTCTTTTAAATGCATATGGCTGAGATGGCGAGAAAAACGGATAGAGCTAGCGCACCAATGATCATGCTAGTTCTGAGTTGGGCTATGCCAAGGTAAACTCGCAAAACGATGCAAAAAGAGCTAGAAAGCTCCCCCGCAGGAAAGAAAGCTGCTTATAGGAAATCAAGGTTGGATCGGTTCCAGAACACCTGCTGATACTAGCCCTGGAAAGTGAACCTACTGCAGCTGAATTTTTATTATAGAATTGCCGTCGCGACTCGCCGTACGACCTCGAGCAAAATGCTCCAAGGCCATGCGCGGGGGAATGCCACGACGCGTCACATTCTTGACTGAGAGTCGATAGTGAATGGCACAAACCTACGATGTTCTGTCGCCTTCAAATCGTCCGTGAAACCATATGAGCTGAGCGCCCGTAGTCGTCCTCATCAGGTCGGTCGTCGAGACCTTCGGTTCGTTGCTTTTCATGTGTTTAGTTCTTACGCGCATATGAGCAGGGGGACCTCGTCCCATGTACTCTCCACGTCGCTTATCGCCAAATATACTATTTACACTACTTTGCAACATAATTTCCCCACCAAGCGTCTCCCACTTTATCTATTATCACTATAGCATGTTCTAGCAAATTGCAATACTCTTCAGATATGGAACTCTACCTCCGTAGTAGTTCACTTCTGTAGTAGTTTACTTGATGTAGTAGATTGCTCCGTCGTAGTTTAATAAGTGCAGTCAATACAGTAGTTCAGTTTGTGTTGCTTCATAGCAGTTTCGCAACCCCCTTTTTCCAGATTCCTCTCTTTCGCAGTTTATCACTACCGTTGTGCCGTTACTTTCGATTACACATGAAGCTGTGTAAGTAGCATGTTCTTCTCGTGTTACTTAACAATACGCTCACGCTCACATGTGCAACGCTACGCACACCGCATTCGTCGCCTCGAACCTTGTCGATCAATCGGTCTATTCGCTATTCTTCTCGGTCCTCCAGAAGGTCAACATCCACCTGTCATCACTCTAGCACTTAACGTACTTGTTGCGGTCAGAGAATGAGCCCTGCACATTAGCTCGCAGCAGGCACGGAGGGCAGAGCATTCGCCGCGCACGCATTCCCTTTGGAGCTGTTGTGGCACCGACCGGAGTCTCACGTTTTGGCGCGTTACCTGGTTGGACCACCGTTACATACACTCAATCCAAGCTACGGAGCACAATAATGGTTTTAAATAAACAAAATGCTCAGGAGGTTTTAGGAGTTGTCGCTAACATTTACTATGACTCTGATTACGACGCGCGATGAAAAAGCCGAGCAAACTTCTAACCTAATCGGTGGCACAAACTGGAAATAATATACCAACTGGAAATAAGTGCACGTAATAATTGTAAGTAAAAGCCCAAGCCAATTGCACCGATTCTGGTGGGAATTTATTTTAATAAAGGCTAAGGCACATCATAGGGTCCGTAGTACGATAACAAAAGCTGCGAGGGTATCTTACGGCAGATGCAGGACTGCATAGAAGCTTGTTCCATTGCTTGTTTGCGGCTCAGAGCAGAAATCGACATTTTCAGACTGCTAAACG